TCATATCCACTTTGAGCGAGTAACTCACACATGAACATCAGCATCCTCGATAGTCTAGTGGTGAGGATATCGGCTTGTCATTCACACGATGCGCCGGGGACCGGGGTTCAATTCCCCGTCGAGGAGTTTCTCTTTTGCTTTTTACGATATGTCTGTCAATTGGGGGAATTGTTCTTAGTCTTTCGCAACTTTTTTCTTCTTCTCCATTTTCTGACAATACTCAAAGAGGCGGGTTATGTTACACGCAGGCAACTCCTGAGTTTCAAGCGCACAGCAGATCACCAACAAACCCCTGCTCGGGCATGCCGAGTGCTACAACGTCTAGAACCACATTGTCAACGTCTGGATACCCGAGTTGAAGATCCCGTCTGAAGGCCCCCCAATGTATCTATTCAATACAATCAACCACGAAGCTTCTTCAAAAGGGATGCCAGGATGCCCTTTCCCGGCTGTTGAAGATCAACCTCTTGAGTCCGGATCATGCCGGTCAGCATTGACGATGCAATGTAAACCACGCTCAGAACCATGCTCCCTGGTTGAACAACTCGGGACCTTAGTCCACACGCAGGCAAGCCGCGGCAACCAGCCCCAATGTATCCGGATCAACCTGTCAACAACTCTAAAAAGATGTGACTTTTTCCAACGATCTGAACCGGACGAACAAGTCCCAAGCCACGGGTTGAGTCCTCAAGTGGACATGCCGGCGTCCGGGGTAGATGGCTCCTTTTCAAACTCTAAGGGAAGCATAACCAACCTGTCGGTTTTCGCCGCAGATTGATTCAAGTCTTTTTTATTCACAGAACGACCCCAGGCTTTGCAACCCTAATCCCTCCACCGTTCGTCGTGAACAAGCCTTTCCCGCCTGATTCATCTTTCTCGGCAAATAGGATCGAAAAATACAACAGCACAAGGTGAAAAAAAAAAAAAAAAAGAGCCCTGCCCTGGGTTGGAGGGGGTTTGAGGGGCAGCATCATCTGAAGCAGGGTCCCCTCTCGGATGCCGCGCCGAGCTCCGTCTCAGACGAACACGTCCCGAAACCCCAAGGGGCGGTGGATTAATCTCAACGGCGCGCAGGGGACAATTTTCGTCAACAGCCCTACGTCTTGCAGACAACGTTGAAGTGTGTGTGTATATGTGTGTGTGTGCCTGCGAGTGTTCCCCCGGCGACTTGAGGACCGACTGAAGCACGCGACTACGACTAGATGGTAACTCCGTTGCGAACGTACATGCAGCTTCGCCGTTTGACCGCAGACTACTTGGCTTGGACTCACTTGCATCACATTTGCATGAGCGAATGCGAAAAGGAACACTGACGAGCCGATGTTCGACGAGGAACGGCGGCAGAGAGAGCCTTTGCGTCCTGCACGAAATCCTTCTCCCTCTTTCGAAACTTGAACGCAGGTTTCTGCTGTCAAAGACGAGAGGGTGGAAAATTGTATGCAGGAACCACAGTATGAGACGTTTGATCAGATGTGCCATCCATAGTTGGGCACGGTCTGAAGGTTTCTAAATAAGTGACCCTCTGCGGTTCCCGCTTGGACGAGCACGGACACCGGTTGTCGTTGGTCTGCGAAGTGAGAGAGATAGACGCAGATGAGTGTTCATCAACTGCGAACGGTTCTCGAACGGGGGTCGCATCGTAGGCATGTCCATGACGGAGAGGGCCCGGAAGGGCCGAGCGACGGGCGGTAAGCTTTTTGAGACTCTTTGATGGAGAATAGCTGACGTGCTCACGATCAAGACATCCGACGATGGGGCTCAAGCACAGAATGTTCTGTCAAGGTGGGCAGACTTCGAAGGGTTCAATTAGATGGACAGCATAGGAAGGGTCTGGGGATGGGGGGCCTTTAACGGATCGACAGGGCTGAAACGGAAAAGGACGAACGCGTTACGCAACTGCCAGTGGCCTCGACCGAGCGCTCTGGAGTGGAAAGAGAAGTAACAAGAAAACGTTCTTCAATGTGTTCCGCGGTCTCGGAATCCTGACCCTTCGCTCCCGGATAAGGTTACTATTGTCAAGTTGTCAATCACAACCGCATCGTGACAGGTCCAATCGCGCATACGCATCGCAGCTTATCTCTCACCTGTCCGTGCCGCTAGGCAGGCAAAGTGGCCCCCCGTCGGGATACCTGCCCCTCTGAGCAAGGGCACGTGGACAGCTTGACTACCGATATGGGATGAATGGGGAATGGGGATTGGGGAACCCGGATGCCCAGTTGACAGGCCACGGGATTTTGCCTGCGCCAGTGGACAGCATGGGCGATGGCGATATCTGGCGTCGTGCTATCAGCGGGTAGCAATGAGCGAGGTGGTCGTCCAGCGAGACCGCCTATTTTTCCTGTGCTAGAGACTACTTTTCCTATAGCTATACTCTAATCACTTTACCGTCGTCTTCGTCGTTGCTATCGTCCTCATAGTTAGTATTGGGTCGCCACAATCGCTTTCAATAGGAGTACTCAAGTGCACAGGAAATATAGCCGCGCAGACACAGGAAAATTAGGCGGTCTCCGTCCATTGGGCTGGAACACGGCACGTGTCTCAGGTAGGCGTATTGCGCCGAAGCCATTACCCAGTGAGAATCGAGTACTTGGGATGACGGTGTCACGAAGCCGAGGCTGAGTCTTCTAGATGGTGCAACGAAGAACTCAACTGCTGACGAACCAACCAACGAGTAAAGCGCAGAAAAAAAAGAAAAAAAAGAAAAAGGGACGCATGGGCTGGGCGACCGAAATGGTGGCCCACGAGTCGTCCGGCAGCCAACCGTCCAGTGAGGCTCCCGGCACCAAACTGAAAATAGGCTCTCTGCCGTCGCCGCCGCCCCCCAAAACGATGAACCGGGCCAACAGTGTGACTGCAGGCGCCTGAACCGGGGCTGGGCTTGTAAGTTGTCACAACTCTTCCTTCTTCGTTGCAACTGATCGGCGGGTTGGAGGTGCGGGTGCGGAAGGTCCGGGGAACGATACAGCGGCACTTCTCAGGCGGAGAGGATGCTTTTTCGGAGGGCGCGGGCGCAGAGTTGCGGGCGCGTTGGAGGGTAGTGCAGCCAGGCCGATGTCAGTTGCAGACGACCAAGTAGCGGCCGGGACGATGGTATTTTACGCAGGTGGGGATAGACGGTGTGTATGCTTGTCTCAAGTCGTCCACTTTCAAGTCAGTTACCAACGTTGGGGCCGGGCATCGGGACTCTATGGTCAGAGTCCTGGGCGAAAGAAGAAGAATGCGAGGCCGTCGCAGAAGACATTGGTGCAGACTTGGACGCTTTGTGGGTTCATGGGCAGAATGCCGGGCGGCTGGATTACTGCCCTTGCAGGAGAATGTGGCAGCGGAGAAGATGGCAGTTCGAGCGCGGCCGAGTTTAGACCTGCGCGCCGCTTCACCATCCAAGCCCGCGATAGGCTGGCATACTTGGAGGGGGTTCATCGCCGCGGGGATTGGTTGGGCTTCCATTGGCGGCCCGGCGAGAGCTGAGATGAACCATGGGGGCCATGGGTGATAGGGAAGCATCAGCAGTGGCTGCACAGAAAGCATGCCTCCTCCATGGCCAGCCGGGCGACGATAGACGAAGAAACTCAATCAAGACAGCAGAATTCCGATGCTGAACATGGATCGGCAGTGGGCGAGAGGGTTGCGCTGGCCGAGTGGCGGCCAGAGTGAAGCAACACTGACCGATGCACAATACTCAGGGCCAGCCAGTAGATGGCCAGCTCCAATAGCCCATCACACCGATCTTCATCATGTCTTGTCTCGATACAGCAGGTGTTGGAAAGGATGTGGAGCTGATCAGCCACCAGAGACACAGCAGACATAGAAGGCAATCTGGAGCCAAGATTCTCAAGAAGGCGCGTTCATCTGCCGTTCAGGAACATGCTGAGATCCTAGGGAGCGAGGGGCTCGATGGGGAAGGTCGATGAGACAGGCAGGCATGATATGAGGAACTCGCCGAGGAACGAGACTCGCCGTGTGCAGCAAGAGTGTCGGTCAAGAAATGCATGCTTCCAATTGCCAGATTGAAGGCGGACGAGCAACCGAAAATCGTTTTCGTCCGAGAAACATTCCTGTGCTGGTATTCTTGTGTCGCAAACAGAAGAAGCTTTTTCGTTACTTTCGTCAGAAGAATCGGGTAAACGTCAGAAGGGTCGATCCGGTCTTGTGCGTCGCAAGTAGCAAGGCCAGGAGCGAAAGGTGACGTAGGGAGCGAGCCTGGAACCGGACAGGCATCGACCAGGTGTGAGCAGTCGGCCTTTTGTCGGCATCTATCCGTTTCGATGGATGGTTTCGCTGGTGCCGTTGGAAGTTGCCAGTTAGCATCCAGCATCATTCTTCAGCAGGTCGATTCCATTCCCAGAAGTTGAATGACGGTGGAACACGCTGCAGACCTGATTGCAACTTAGTCATCTTAGTCGTTTCTAATAGACAGCCCGGGACCAAAATTATTTGCTGTCAACTTGATCAGATGCACGGGCGCTTTGGATACAACTGTGGACACGTCGAGACCGGAACGGGCAGGCCAGGCCAGCGAGTATCAGCGCCAGAGGGGAAAGGCTTGTAGTTGAGTGTGGGATTGCAGCTGCAGCCAAAGGTGATGCCCGTGTCCTCGCACTTCGTAGTCCGCGGCGTGCGAGGTAACGCCGGGATACCTGGCGTTCTGGATATCGAGCGACACGTCCAGTATGGTGTTTGACGTCTCGTTGATGCTGTCGGGCAGAAGCTGAAAGCTGAATCATTTCGAGCAACCGGTAGGGCAGAAAACGGGTGTCGATATTCGTACGCAGCGGGGCGTGTGGTGGCAGCGGCCCCCAGAGGAGAATTTGCAAGCGTCAAGGGAGGCAGGCGTATCCGTGTGCACGTTGCAGGTCGTACCGTCAGCCGAAAAAAGCCAGGGCAGGGCAACAGTCGACGAGGCCTGACCAGGGAATTAATCACTTTGTGTGGATCAGATCAATCATCAGGACCGATATCAAGGTATCCACGACATGAGGGAGAGCATGTCGGGAGACACGATGGATGGCTTCCCTCCTTCTCCGCCTCTCCATTGCTTCTGGAAGCCACGCAGAACAAGTAAGTGGACCAGATCATCGGCGATATTGCGCAATGTGGATAGCAATCTGCGATCAGAGAGGGGGAGGGAGCCATGTTTGCCATGATGCTGTGCTGACCAATGTGGGCTGCTGTGGGTTCCATTCCGTGCGTGGCAGGCCGGTCCCAGCCTGTGCGAGGCGACGATCGGCAGAACGAACGAAGGGGACAGCGAGTCGGGTTCTGTTCTCAAGACTCAGGTCCCCTTCCCGGCGGCACCTTGCTGGCTCCTGTCAAGGCATCCGTACCTTGCGAAGATATGTGACAATTGTAGCGAATAGTTGGCGTACGGACAATCATTGTTTGCAGAGCGGGAGGGGCGGGAATCAAAACGCAAGTACGGCCGGGTGAACGCATGCGGGTAGAAAGGCTGATGGCGGCAGATGTGGAACGAAGTTGGCGACTGCGACAGCAGCCTCGGGGGAATTGAGCGACAATTTCGAATTTTCGAATATGGAGGAGGTTGGGGAAGACCCATTACTGTGTGCAGTATGCAATTATGGTCGGTTTCGGTGGGTGGATGGCGATGGGGGACGATGAGGTAAAAGAAGGGGAAATCGTGTGTCCTTGGCGCATGCCGGGGGCAGAGATATGGCGCATCCGTAGGGTAGGGCACCGAACGCCACGCCGTACGCAATCCGAACACCTCAGCAGATGGAGAGGGATATCTCGAGATGTGTTTCGAAGATGAAAGGCAGCTAGTCAGTGGCCGGTGACGAGCCTGCTGTGAGTGGTTCGCCGGTTGACCAATTCCAGCCGGTGGACGATGAAACCCGGCGAGACTGCGCAGTGGAATCCGTGGCAGACGGGAATGCACCTTACTGTTGGGTTTGCTGCATTTGCAGTGAGGTGTGCGATGCAGGCAGGTAAGTGGTGGTGGTGGTGGTGGTGGTAGTGGAAGCACGTCAATGGCAGCGCGACCAGCCACTGAGCCTACCTCGGACCAGTAAGAGACTCGGAATGTGACAGAGAGTCTCAGTGGACGCGCGGGCGGGAAGGTGGGTGTGGTGCAGGTGCACCATACTTTTTCAGTGATTGAGTGACCACTGACGGCCAGCGACGGCTGCGCCGCGCCGCCCCGGTATGGTAGGTACCTCTTTCCTAATTGTTTCCAATGTCCCTTCCTTCGCCCTCGCTCTTGCCCCAAAACGCCTAGGTATCCCGGCAAGCGCAGGCTGGTACGACCTGGCAAGCGCGGCGTGGGATGCTTTGGGTAGTGTTCCCTGCAAACCCTGTTCCCAGCTGTTCCAGTCAGAACCCCCGGTGCACCCCCCAAAAAAGGCCCCTCTCCAGTGCGCCCCCTTGCAACTTGTGGTCCTTGGAAGCCTTCCACACTTTCGATCGATGTTCGAGAAGCCGGCCAGAAGACCGGGTGCAGGGCCCTGGCCTTCCCTGTCTTGCCCGTCTTCCCTTCCCCTCGCACGAACAGGGCAACGTCTCTTCCCGGGTAGTGACTGGGGGTTGTAAGGTTGGTAGGTACCTACCTAAGGTACGAAGACGAGATAGATAGCTCGGTAGGCCAGGTACGAATACCCAGAGAGATAAGCAACTCCTGCCATGCCAGCTGGGCTCTAAGCCTGCGTGCCCTGGGGAAAGGCCAAACAGAATTCAAGACTGCGTCTTCTTCGTCTTCAGTGCATTCAGCTCAGGAGACATGAACGGAAACAAGTCCCCCAATGCGGCATTGCTCGCATTCTCTCTCGTTATTCGACCCCTTCCTGCCCGCTTCGCTTGACGGTTCCCCTCCGCGTTGCGAGACGCAGGCGCAGAAGCAGAAGCAGACGCAGACGCAGACGCAGAAGCAGACGCAGGCGCAGGCGCAAGGCTCGTACGCACATCCATGATCGTCCCAACCCGTCTCTGCCTGGTGCAGGCTTGTCAGATTCTGATTCCGACAAGGCCTCCCATTCTGAGTCTGCAAAGTCCAGTCCAGACCCAGTGGGAAATCATTGTTTCCACAGCTGCCAGGTGACGAAGGCCCCCGGCATCTCACTTTTTCTTCCCTCTGTCTGCCTTCCATTCGCCCTGTGCGGTGCATCTCCCAGACCAGCAGCGCGGGAACAGAACCCAATGCCCAGGATTGAAGTCACCTCAGATGACTCGGTCGAATCCAGTTGCTATTGTCCGCTATTCACCTGTTGATGTCCGCCTCATCATCGCACTGTGCCCCTGCAACCTCGTGAGATGGCTGCTTGCAGCCCCTACGTCGCTCTCCGCTTGCTGCTGACGACTTTGAACACCCGCTGTAGCTGTTGCTTCTGCAGGGCCTGTAAAGCAGGTGCCATGATGTGAACGAGATCCTGATACCATCTCCTCTGCTTCATCTTCCAGCGTAGCATCCAGCAGCCCTGATGCCGTCTCGAGGCCGAATTGCAACGACAGGTGCAACTGTTACCGCAACGCAACCCAGCGCAGAGCAGCGCAATACCTGAGCTTGGTAGGCGTTGCCTCGCTTCCCGCTCGGCATCTTGCTTTACTGAACTTGTCTTCTCAGAGCGTCTTTGAGGAGCGTCTTAGTTAGAGCCCACCTTTCCTTCTCTGGACCATCGTCTTCGTTCCATTCTGCATCCATCCACAAACATTCTCCTCCCGAGATGCGCCAGTAAAACCTTAGCCTCTTCCAACTGCGTTACGGCAAAGACGTACACTTCTCGTCGAAGTTACTTTCGTCAGGTACTTACCTACTGACCTCACTTCACTTGGCCTACCTTACCTACCCACCCTACCTACCTACCTGACCCTCACTCTTCCCAAGTGCCTGCCTTCGTGCGCACACCACCAAGACCGCGCCACCACTACGTTGCTGCCACTTGCCATCCATCACCAACACCACCACCTCGTCTGCAAATCCAACCCGCATTCGCCAATCTCTCATCCATTCCTCGCTGCTGTCGAAATCTCTTCCGCCTTCTCCTCTTTCATTCCCATCTTCCCCCAGCCAACATCTCAGGAAACATCCATAAGGGCCTGCATTACACATTTACACTTTACGCACTTATTCGCCCCCCCCTCACTTACTCAGTCAGTCACTCAGTCTCCGTCTATTGCACTCGCCACGCGGAAGGGAGCGAAAAGAAACGAGCGGAGCCGGAAGAGAGAGAAAGGGGGGAAAAAAGGAAAAGGGACCAAGAGCAGAATTGGTAAGTCGTTTTCGCCCTGCAAAAACTAGCTGCACTCCTCTAGCTTTCTCTCGAGCTTCCATGGTGTTTCTTGTTCTGTCCCGCCTTGCTTTGTTGGGCAAAGTATGTAGAGGGGAAGGGTAAGGCAAGGAAGCTTGGTCTGTTCTGTGCTGCTTCTGGGCCCTGGAGGGGGCTCCCGCGCGAGCGCTCTTCTCTCCCACCCACCCCAAGTCTCTCGCTCTCTGTCACTACCACTGACATTAGACCGCCCACCAAAGAACCACACGCACGCAGCAAGCAAGCAACCACGCACACACACACCCACCCACCATACCCCCCCTTGCCTGGCTTAACAATTTCGTACTCGAAGCCTGGCTGCCCATTGTACTCCTCTCATATTGTACTCCTCTCTATCCTCCCGTCCCAGCTACCTGGCGCTTGCCTTCTTTTTCCCTTCTTCCCACTTCACGCCCGTTCGTCCCAGCCCTGTTGTACGTAGCCTGCCCTTATGATATTACGTCTTTCCTCGTCGTCGTCGCCGCTGCTTGTTTGTGCTCTGTTTTCTCTCGCCCGCTTTTCCCCCCTCGTCAACTTATATTTTGTCCACAACTAACCCGACGACTCGGTCGCTGCCAGCAGCATAGAGTAGCCTCCACCTTGGTGCCGAGTACATAACGAACTTTCCGCGCGACGGTACCCGCAACTGCGAAACGACAATCCCCTCCTCGTCCCTCTACGCTCCCGTACACGGCGAGATTGATTGCATTCAATCCTCCCATGCCTTCGGTTCTCCCGGCGCTGTGCGACTGCCATCGATGACAATCCTGGTGACCACCACCGCAATTGCGCTGTTGATTTAATCGCGTGCGCTTGGGCGTCTACCCTGGACAAGAAATCAGGCCCATACCTCGACCTCGCTTGTATCTTAACTGTCCCGATCCCTTCGCCCGCACATCATCCAGGCTTCGATTTTACTGCGCCAGACTGCGCTTTCGCTGATACGTCGCGGGCGTCGCGCCGCCGTGCTGTTGTTCAATCGGACTGGGTTGCCGTCCTCGAATTATCCTCTGCGGAGCCCCTTGGATTGCCATCTTGCTCAATCGCATCGTCACGCTTTAAGCCTCCTTTGCCCTTGTGGCCAGAGCGCTCCGGTCGCGAGACTGGTTGCTCCCCGAAGCCGCGATGGACAACGCTACTTGTCATGTCGTCTACGTGAACCGTCAGGTTCGCCAAGACAGACTGATACGTAATGATGCGACCGATGCAAACCTGTCGAATGGCGATGTAGCCAGTGGAGAAGTTGAGTATATACAAAAAGACGCCGCACTTTTGCTGGATACCTTTGGAGAAGGTATGGAATCGATAAACCCCTCGTTCTCGCTCGTGATGCTAACGACACTTCGCCAGTCTACCTCTGTTCCACCGGCTCAGCATGCATCTCGACGCTTTTCCAACTTTCCGACGAGTCAATGATGGATCTCACGCCAACTCTCGTCCTCGTCGACGTCCCTTACGACGAGCGCTTACCCAAGGTCCGGTCAAAGTCTAGGTCACCTTCGCCGCACTCGCGCCCAGTCACTGCCGATATTGATATACATACCCCAGAAGAGGAGGTCTACGGTCTGAAGTTACTGCAGAGAATCATGACTGAGGCTCACTTGCGTAGCATATCCAAGCTGGTCGTACCTATCCCAGTCGTGAGCTTTTCCTCGTTTGAAGTCCCTCACGCCAATGGCAGCACGATCGAAGACGCGGAAACGAAAAACTCGCCCACAGTCGATCGACGACTGATCATTCGCTGTCTCGATCTTGGTGCAGTAGATGTCATCATTAGCCCTTTGCACCCCAAATGCGTCACCAGTTTGGAGATCCATGCTTACCGCGGCCACAAAGAGGCAGCAAGAGAACAGCAAGAGATGCTAGAGGTCCGCAGGGGCAGGAAGCGTTCATGGGTCGGCGTAAACGAGGAAAAGCCCTTTGCATACTTGAGGGAAGCCATGGTATCTGGTCTTATGAGAGGCATTTGCCGGTCGGGCGCGGATTCAGACGATGATCGGATCGCCAACGTCAGCATCGCCGTATCCACTGATCGCCAAGCCGCCGTCGCTGCCGCCGTAGGCAAGTGGCACTTCTGTGCCCACAGCTG